AAATCTTCCATCTAGTATAACGACATCTGATGTTACTTGCGTTTTGCGTTAGAAGAAATCTTTATAACGCTCGTAGAAAAATCCAGCCATGTTTGCCGAAGAACATCGAAGAAATATTTGACTTCCTGGAACAGGAAAACATTCAAACCAATCGAGGTGAGCCGTTTCTACTTATGAAAAACAGAATTGTACAGATATTAATATTTTCTTTTAAGTCTAATATTAAGATGTTGGACAAAATTAGTCAAATTTATTTAGATGGTACATTTAATTACTGTGCGTAATATTTCTGCCAATTTTTTACGATATATGGATATTGTAACAGGCATTACATTCCATTAATTTTTTCATTGTTGCATAAATGCACAAAAACTTATAAAAATCTATTTAACTCAGTAATAAATATTTGTAATGATAATGGTGTAACATTACAAATTTCAAAAGTTGTTATTGACTTTAAGGAAGCTATCCATAATGCTGTTAATCAAGTTTGTCCCTCAGTAGAAATAATTGGTTGCAAATTTCATCTTGCCCAATCCTGGTACCGAAAAATTCAGCAATGCGTCCTATCCAAATAAAAAAATAAAAATGTAACTTCCTTACTAGTGAATTTCAACCCCTGAAGCCGACTGAGATTGTGTGGGGAAGGGACGACTATTATTATAGTCTTCACACAGTAGTCTGTGAAGAGTATTAGTGAATGGTTACACTGGATGCGGATACGTGCGAGTTTTAAGTCGTGCGATGTGGTTGCATTGTTCAGTACTTTAGAATTTTGCCTTCAACATTTAATTATATACTAAACAGAATCCATCAACGACTACATATTCTAATTTTCGATTAGAAAATAAAACTTTTTGCGTACCAAAGGATCAAATTATTCCAAATACAAATATTACCATTCCATATGTGCTCTTGGACGATTAAGCCTATCCTTTAAAAGTGTATTTAATGAGACCATATTCTGGTCGTAACCTCAGTGAGCAGGAAGAGATTTATAATTATAGACTATCCCGAGCAAGGAGGATTATTGAATGTGCATTTGGCATACTATGTTCCAAATGGAGGATCCTCAAAAAAGACATAGAATGCCATCCAGACAAAGAAGATATGATTGTTAAATACGCATGTATTCTTCATAATATAATTATTGATAAAAAAGATGTATCGGAAATAATTTTAAAATGAACTCTGACTGTCTCTTCCCATCCCTTTTTTACTATAACTCTTTACATGTTTGATCCAACAACGGCTTCCTCTATTGAACACATAAAATTATCTTTTCTAAGTCCATTTTAAATAAATCTTTTAACAAAATCTTCTCAATTATTATTGAATGTGCTACAGGTGTCACCATTCTATATCGTTAATATCGTACGATGTCGCCGAGAAAAACAAACGCGTTTGTTCTTCTCGCCTACTCGGCCGACATCGTACGATATCAACCGACTAAAACGCAGTTAATGTAACCGCACACCTTTAAATCAGTTAGTTTGTTTTTACGTCCGACATCGTACGACATCGCACGACTAAAATATTGCAAGTATCTGCATCCAATGTAAGCATTCACTTATGCATTTGGTTTTATCCGTCCTATGTCACGTTTTCTATCCGCACGATAAGTCAAAAACGAAAAACGTTATCAATTTTAAAATTTGAGGAAAATTAAGCTCTATAAGAAAACGAAGCCTATTGATTTAAAATAAAAAATAAATAAAAGCTAGGGGCTAAGGGTGGTTGAAATATAAAAGAAAATTATATTCAAAAACAAAACATATCAACATGAAATTTTTAGCAAAAATCAAGCTCTATAAGAGGAAGAAGCCCTTACATTTTGAAAAAATTTGATTAAAAATGTGGGGGTTAAAAGGGGGTTGAAATGAAAAAAAAAAACAAATCAAAAACGAAAAGCGATATCAACATGAAATTTTTAGTAAAAATCAAGCTCTATAAGAAGATGAAGCCTACTGATTCTTAAAAAAATCCGAATTAAAATGGGGGGTTGAAATACAAAAAAAAAATCCTAACTTGAAATTATTAGCAAAAATCAAGCTCTATAAGAGGAAAAAGCACTTTGATCTTGAATCTGAATAAAAATGGGGAGTTTAAAGGGGATTAAAATAAAAAAAAATCAATTAGGTCAAAAATAAAAAGCGATATCAACATAAAAGTTTTAGTAAAAATGAAGCTCTACAAGGGAATGAAGTTTATTGATTCTGAAAAAAATCTGAATAAAAATGGGGGATAAGGGGGGGTGGAAATATTAAAAAACCTCCTAACTCAGAAAAGAAAAATGATATTAACTTGAAATTTTTAACAAAAAACAAGATCTATAAGGGGACAAAGCCTATTAATTTTGAAAAAAAAATCTAATTAAAAATTGGGAGTTGAGGGGAGCTGAAATAAAAAAAAAACCGTAAATCAAAAGCGAAAATTTGTGAACAAAATGGGGGGTTGAGAAGAGTTGGAATAAAAAAAAATAGAAATCAAACACCATAAGCGATATCAGCATGAAATTTTTAAGTAAAACTCAAGCTCTATAAAGGAATAAAGCTTATTGATTCTGAATAAAAATGGGGGGATAAGAGGAGGTTGAAATATTGAAAAAAATCACGAAAAAACGAAATACGATATCAAACTGAAATCTTCAGAAAAAATCAGGCTTTATTAGAGGACGAAGCTTATTGATTCCGAAAAATATCTGATTAAAAATGGTGTTTAAGGGGGGCCAGTTAAACTGTAAGGGGTATAATATAGAATGTCTTAAAGATGATTGATGGTGCCATTTGATTTACACGTGTAGGAAATCCGGAAAACCTAACCCACTATCATGGTGCATTTGCTCATTGTTATTGTGAATCCTGTGAAAGGTATATGATGTAATAAAAGTATTTATTAAAATGTGGCTTTGATTTAACATCGACTGCAAGAAATCACTAGGTCTAATGTCTGCACTTCAAGAAAATTTATCTTCAGATATACATTTTTATAACATATTATAGTAAACTTGAATTTGGTTTAAGACAGGGCCGTTTTAAACGATGTGTTATAAATCAGGCTACAGTACCGTTACAGCTCAAGAGTTTTATAAATATTTTGAGCGTAATTAAACCATTTTTCGACTTTTGGTTCCGATTTTACCCATATTTTAAAAGAACAGTATTCTTTTTGCCAGGTTACATTTTTTTTTTAATTTAAACCGTTTCGCGACACAATAAAATGCAATAACATCTGAGATTGAGAAAAAACGTGTTTAAATTATATCTCGATTTTCATTGAAAAAGGTAAATCCCTACATCGGAAGTAGCACAACCGGCTGAAAAAAATGCTTGAAGAATGCTTCTTATTGTTGTTGATGTCTAGAAGAATATATTTCAGTCCCAACAAAAAAGGAAATAAACCATCGATAAGCAACTTTATTTTAAATTTGACAAGTCACACCACAGCTCCCACCATCTGGACTCCCCTGTACCCAAGAACTAATAACACGCAAAAAAAGGAACGTGCCACTTTTGCACTTAGATGACATACTAATATTATTGTTTTCGAATATGTATATGTATAACCAGGGGGGGGGCTTAAAAACGTCCCTGCGCAAAAGATTTATTTACCAAAAAATAAGGAATTTCAACAAAAAATATAAGTATCAGTATATTATACAAAAAATATATACAGTGCTTCGTAAAGAAATAAATAAATTCATGTTTAGTCAAAATATCCATTTTTGAACAAAAAGTTATGTATACAGTGTGAAGAACATGTGAGTTATGACGACAGCGACATGTTTGCTATAAGGGTCACCCTATTAAAATAAAATAAATAATAAAAAGTTCTTTATTTCAGTAAGACCATTATTGCTCGGTATTAGAAAAGTCAGTTAGAGTTTTACAAAGAATATATAAATAGTAGTTTGTGAAACAAGAGTGGATATGGACAATCCACTCGAGTTGTACAGTATATTTTTTCTACGGCCCACTAACGAAAAAAAATATTTTAGGTTATTAAGTTAAAATAACTAATTTTAAAATAATTTATAAATTTTACTGATTTTTAAAATAAAACAAATTAATTTAATTAGTCCCCAGCCGAGATTCGATCCCGGGCTTTTCGCGTAGAAGGCAAGCGCTCTGTCCTCGCGTTCACTGCCACTTTTAGAATTTTGGTTTTAATACTCGAATTTAAAATAGTTTCATATATTTGATTAAAATTAATTTTTAAATATGGACCAAATAAAAATAAAAATGCTATTATTTATCGATTCTACACAAAAATAACTTATTTTAATGTATATTTAATCTCAATAACTAAAAAAATATACTGACAGTTTGACAGGATTGTGACTTATTTAAAATTTTAAATAAGGACGAAACCGGTCCAAGAATGACTTTCTCCTTAGTGGGCTAAATCAAAGGTAGAGTGTTGAAAATATTTTCTATCTCTGCTATTTTCTTTCGACGTAAATCAATACCTGGTCATGTATTAGCCAAAGGAGTAGTTGTTGTCGAAAGAGAAACGGCTGCACATATATTGTTGTGACTATGGCTTTGAGTATTATTTAATGTATTTTACATCTCAGTAACATTTGAGTTTGGAATTATTTCCTTTCCCCCCCCTTCTTAATTATTTTTGAGTTTAGCTTGGCGATTTTAATAATATATAGGGTATCCCATTTAAAAAAATTGTCGCTGACGTCATTACTTACATGTTCATCACCCTGTATATAAAACTTTGTAATCAAAATGTGGAAAATTAAAGTTAAAAATCGAATTGGTTGGAAAATTTCCTTAAAAATGGATATTTTTATTAAAAATTAATTTATTCACTACTTTACGAAATCACTGCATACAAACATGCAGATATTTCACTTTTTTAAATTTAACATCATTTTTGTGTTATTCATGCTTCTTCAAATATTAACTTATGGATTATATCAATCAAATATTATTCAGATTTATCGGACATTCAAGTTGTTTCGGACTATCACAAAAAAACTGACTTACCGCTGTCCCTATAAATGTCATGGTAAGAATGAACGTCGAAACCAAACTGACTTCTGACAGGCGTCAGCGATCTAGCTCTATCCCTCAATTTCACAGTGAAAAAAGCTCTGTCGCACCCATAACAATTTTTGGCTAGGATACAATAAGTCCCAGAGTCTTCAACTGTGATCCTTTTTAAAGTCATTCTCATGTAATCATCAGACTTTTCTTTGTACGATCTCATACTGGTCGTGATGTCTTTAAGACCCTTCATCCATGTAACTGAAAAACGCAAGTATAGATTCTTGTCTGGGTTACAAGTTATTTGAATTACCTGTAGGTTTAGGATCACCGGCCACTCTAAATGATACGACGATGTCATCTCCTTCGCGAAGGCTCAAGATTTTGTCTGGTCTTGAAAGGAACATAGCAGGTTTTCTATGCGGTGTACAAGATTGGACGACTTGAACGTAAGCAGACGTTTCCGTACTTCCCTGAGGATATAAAGCCCTACAAATATATTTTCCAGCTTCATATTCGTTAACGTTCGGAACCAGTAAAGTATGAACGTTTCTTTCGTTAAATATCTGATGCCTAGACGATGAATTTGATAGTCTTAAACTTTCTTTGTACCAAGAAACATTCAGTGGACTTCCTTTTACTTCGACTTGCAGCGCCATGGTGCCTCCAGTTGGTACATTACTGTCAGTCATAATTCCGGAGAAATAAGGTCTTGTTGATCTGGTTAAGCTGCTATCACGATATTCTTTCTGCCTGGATTTGTACCGAATATATTCTTTTTTACCTTCAAATTTGAAGTCATATGATAGCTGATCGCTCCATAGATCATTATCTAATCTGCAAGAATATCTTCCGCTATCAGCTCTTTCAGGATTGGTAATACTGAGCCTACAAGTTCCGTCTGATAAGTAACTTTGCGCATATCTAGCTGATGTTCCTAATTCCTGACCATCCTTGTACCAGCTTACATTTGGCGTTCTGTAACTCTTAACTTTGCATTCAAAAGTAAGTTCATCATTTGACATTTTATAATGATCAGTAATATTTCTGGTAAACACAGGAGGTGATGGCTTTATATCGGTTTCGTTAGAAACTTCTAAGTAAGCAAAACTTACTGTTTCGCCATTTTCATTACTAGCTACACAAGCATATTCTCCACTGTCAGTTAAATGAACGTTACTTAATTCCAAAGTAGCTGTATTATTAATGAATTTGCTCATACAATGTAAACCTTCTTCTATCAGTTTATCATTTTTCAACCAGTATACTTTAAGATGTTCATCGGCAACTAAATTGCAAATCAGTTGTATATTGGAGCCTATGATTGCTGATGAATTCTTCAAGCCGGTACTAAAGAATGGTTTCCTGCCAACATAGACCGAGCCCTGATAAGATGGTGGTTTGTAATCGTCTAGATTGTCTATTACTGGACGAGTTGTATCGGTAACTTTAGAGTTATCTTTAATGCTTTTTTTTGTAATCTCTCCGTTTTCTAAGTTCTGTTCGTCTATCTGACGATGTATATTTTTTTTTTCTACGCCAGTTTCACTTTGAATTATTAGGTCATCTTTATCTCTTATCTTCTTTTTAATTTTTTGTTCTTCTTTCGTTTTTATTTCATCATCTTTTATACATAGCTCATCTTCTCCTTTCTTTTTCGTATCTTCTTCTTTCTTTGAAAGTTTTTCTGTTTGGTTTAGGTCCAATTCTTTCTTTTTAAGCGTTTCTTCTGTTTTTCTAATTTCTAGTTTACGTTTTTGTTCTTTATCTTCCTTCTGTTTTAGTTCCTCTATTTCTTTCTTTTTTACTTGGTCCTCTTTTTTCTTTTTCAATTTGGCTTCTTCCTCCTTTTTAACTTCATCTTCTTTCTTTTTCAGTTGCTCCTTATTTTTTAATTCCTCTTCTTCTCTCTTACGTTGTTCCACTTTCTCTTGGTCTTTTGCTTTCAGTTCTTCTTCCATCTTTTGATTTTTCTTTAATTTTGCTTCTTTTTCTTTTTTAAGTAATTCTTCCTTCTCCTTTTCTTTCTGCTTTAATTCCCCTTCTTCTTTCTTTTTCAATTCCTCTATCTTTTTAAACTGTTCTGTCTCGTCTTTACGTTGTACCTCTTCTTTTCTCTTACGTATTTCTTCTTTTTCTTTTACACGTAGTTTTTCTTCTTGTTGCTTCTTAATTATTTCTTCCTCTTTTTTTAATTTTGCTTTTTCCTCTTTTTTAATAACTTCCTCATTCTTCTTTTCTTTTTGTTTTGATTCTTCTCTCTCTTTAATTTTCAATGACTCTGTCTCTTTAATATCTTCTTCTTCTTTCTTCCGTAGTTCTTCGTTCTCTTTTTCTATTTTTTTCATCTCTTCTTTCTTTTCGTTATTTTTTAATTTTGCTTCTTCCTCTTGTTTAATAAGTTCCTCGTCTACCAATACTTTTTGTTTCAATTTATTCTCGTCTTTCTGATTCAATTCTTTTGCTGTTTTAAGTTCGCCTTCCTCTTTCTTACATTGTTCCTCTTTCTCTTGTTCTTTCATTTTTAGTTCTTCTTCCTTCTCTTCAGTCTTTTTATTCAATTTTGTTTTTTTAAGTAGTACCTCTTTTTCCTTTTCTTTCTGCTTTAATTCCTCTTCTTCTTTCATTTTTAATTCCTTCATCTTTTTAAGGTGTTCTTCCTCTTTTTTAAGTTTTATCTCTTCCTCATTTTTACGTTGTATCTCTTCCTCTTTTTTGCGTTGTATCTCTTCCTCTTTTTTACTTTGTATCTCTTCTTCTTTCTTACGTTGTATCTCTTCTTCTTTACGTAGTTCCTCTTCTTGTTTCTTCTTATTCACATATTCCTCTTCCCTTTTCAATTTTGCTTCTTCTTCTTCTTCTTCTTGTTTTATAAGTTTCTCTTTTTCCACCTCTTTCTGTTTTAATTGCTTTTCTTCTTCCTGTTTCAGTTCCTCTGCCTTTTTAAGTTCGTCTTCTTCTTTCTTCCGTTGTTTTTCTTTTTCTTGTTCTTTTATTTTCAGTTCTTTTTCTTTCTTTTCCCTCTTTTTATTTAATTTTGCTTCTTTTTCTTTTTTAAGTAGTTCCTCTTTTTCATTTTCTTTCTGCTTTAATTCCTCTTCTTCTTTCATTTTTAATTCCTTCATCTTTTTAAGGTGTTCTTCCTCTTTTTTAAGTTTTATCTCTTCCTCATTTTTACGTTGTATCTCTTCCTCTTTTTTGCGTTGTATCTCTTCCTCTTTTTTACTTTGTATCTCTTCTTCTTTCTTACGTTGTATCTCTTCTTCTTTACGTAGTTCCTCTTCTTGTTTCTTCTTATTCACATATTCCTCTTCCCTTTTCAATTTTGCTTCTTCTTCTTCTTCTTCTTCTTGTTTTATAAGTTTCTCTTTTTCCACCTCTTTCTGTTTTAATTGCTTTTCTTCTTCCTGTTTCAGTTCCTCTGCCTTTTTAAGTTCGTCTTCTTTCTTACGTTGTTTTTCTTTTTCTTGTTCTTTTATTTTCAGTTCTTTTTCTTTCTTTTCCCTCTTTTTATTTAATTTTGCTTCTTTTTCTTTTTTAAGTAGTTCCTCTTTTTCATTTTCTTTTTGCTTTAATTCCTCTTCTTCTTTCTTTTTCAATTCCTTTATATTTTTACGATGTTCTTCGTCTTTTTTATGTTGTATCTCTTCTTCTCTCTTACGCAGTTCTTCTTCTTCTTCTTTTTCTTTTGCACGAACTTCCTCTTCTTGTTCTATATTCATTTCTTTTTTCAATTTTGATTCTTCCTCTTTTACAAGAAGTTTTTCATTCTCCTTTTCTTTTTGATTTGATTCTTCTTCGTTCATTTTCAATGCTTCTGTATTTTTAAGATCGTGCTCTCCTTTCTCTTGTTCTATATTTTTCATGTCTTCTTCCTTTTCCTTATTTTTTAATTTTGCTTCTTCCTCTTTTTCCATTTCTTTCTGTTTCAATAGCTCTTCGGCTTTTTGTTTTAATTCCTCTTCTTCTTTCTTTTTCAGTTTCTCAGCCTTTTTAAGTTCGTCTTCTTCTTTCTTACGTTGTTTCTCTTTCTCTTGTTCTTTAATTTTTATTTCTTCTTCCTTCTTTTCCATCTTTTTCTTTAATTTTGCTTTTTTATCTTTTTTGAGTAGTTCCTCTTTTTCATTTTCTTTCTGTTTTAATTCCTCTTGTTCTTTCTTTTTCAATTCTTCTGTCGCACGTATTTCCTCTTCTTGTTTTTTCTTATTCATATCTTCCTCTTCCTTTTTCAATTTTGCTTCTTTGTCTTTTTTAACAAGTCTCTCATTTTCCATTTCTTTCTTTTTTAATTCTTCCTCTTCTTTCTCTTTCAAATTATCAGCCTTTCTATGATCGCCTTCTTCTTTCTTACGTAGTTCCTCTTTCTTTTGTAATTCCTCTTCGTCTTTCTTACGAAGTTCCTCCTTCTCTTGTTCTTTCTTTTTCAATGCATCTTCCTTTTCTTTATTTTTCTTTAATTTTGCTTCTTCCTGTTTTTTAAGTTGTTCCTCTTTTTCCGTTTCTTTTTGCTTTAACTCCTCTTTTTCTTTGTTTTTCAACTCTTCTGTCTTTTTAAGTACTTCCTCTCTCTCTTTCTGTTTTAACTCTTCCTCCTTCTTTGTCAGTTCTTCTTCTTTCATATCATGTTCCTTCTTTTCTTTTTCTTCTTGTTCCTTCTTTTCAAGTTCATTTTTTTCATTTTTTTGTTCTATCTCTTTCATTTCTTCTTTCTCCAGGTCTTCTGTTTCATTTTGATTAATGTCTTTGTCTTCGTCCTTATGAAGTTCGTCTTTTTCTTTTACTTCTGTTTCTTTTAATTCCTCCTTTTCTTCTACTATTTCTATCGGCTCCTCCGTTTCATTGATGTGTTTCTCATTTTCAAAGATATTTTTAATATCTTCTAAAAGCACTTCAAGGGCTGCATTTATAGGTTGGAAAAATTTTAAATTGTTGGTCGCACTTATTGTGTTTTCTGTTGCGCGTTTCAATTCGTCCAGATAATAAATAACGCGTAATTGATCTTGAGCGTCACTTTGTTGACAGTTGTTAAAACTTACATTTAGCTGTATTGAATTTATCAAAGTCTCTGGAAGATCATCATTGTTTGTGTTGATTGTCTTTTCTTGATCTATTAAAGTTTCCTGGAGAATGTTTAAACTGTTTACAAGAGGTTTCAATTTAGTACCTAATGCTTTGATTATACTTGTCTTGAGATCAATGGTCGATTGTTTAAGCTTCTTAATAAATAAATAATCATTTCTTCGTACACATATTTCTTTGTTAACTTTATCTTCCAAAGTAATTAAATCTTGGATGAACAAATTTAAAGCTTGTGATATTATTTCCATCTTCTCGTTTAAAACTAGCACCTTACAAGTTTTTTCAGCTGCTGATTTTGTACCTTTTAACAGTAATTGAATTTCTTTATCATAATCTTTCATTGTTTTCAAGTTTTCTGGATTATTGCAAACATCTTCCAAGAATAAACTAACTCCAGTTAATGCATCTCCGATATTATTCAAATTATTAACGTAATTTTTAGAAAAATCTGCGTTAAAAACTATTTCTCTAGCTACCATGATGTTTCCCATCAACAGGTCAACTGGGTTATGTAAATCACTTAACGTCAATACTAGTTCTTCATCAATTTCTTTAAATACCTTGGATTTGGAGTTTAATCTAGCTAAGGATCGGATCAAATTTTGTCCTGAGGAGTAAAGATCGGTCAACACTTTATAATCTAGCCTCTCTTTACCAGCTTCATCTAAAGTCTTATTCAAAACTTTCACAACATCTTCTACATCTTCAACCATATTTACTTTCCTTAATTTAATAATAGTTTCTGGTGCGTTTAAATCTTGTAATATAGTTTTCAAGGATTCAATAATACCAGGTAGTTCTACTTGCAGAATTTCTGTATCTGTCATGATACTGTTAATATTATTAATTACTTTAGATAGCTCATAAAGAGGTTTTTGTAATGATGCTGACACAGATTCTAGATCTTTGAGAATAGCGGATGCTACTTTTAATTTTTTAATATTGTCGATTATATTTGTTATAGGAGTCTCCAACTTTAACAAAGAACTTGCTACACTAAGTGGTTGCGTCAAAAGCTTAATATCTGATCCGACAACCTCAACATTTTTTAATAATTTAACAAAAGGTTCTAAATATCTCGATAATTTTTCTTGTTGTTCTAAAGTTGATTCTATTGTTATTTTTTCTTCAAATTCTTCAATAGCTTTTCTTATATTTTGTAATGGTTTCAATAGCACATTGTTGTAAATGTCGTTTGAACTAAGAATATCTTCAATAATTTTAATTTGTTTGATTGGTTTTTTGAACTGGTTCTCTAACTCTTGGTAATTTTCGATATCTGGTTTGTCTATCATGGAATTGAATTTTACTAACTCAATTAGCAGCTCTTCTAATGGAGAAACCAATTTTTCCAATTCGGCTAATAGTGGACCGGAAATATTTGGAATTTGATGGATACTCGATTTTTCAATTACTGTTAAATTTTCATCAAAATTGCCAATTGAGTCTTTTAGTTTCTTTAATTGTGTTATAAATTTGGCAGATTTTGATATTTTTTTGTTAATGATATTGAGTTCTTCGACAAGCTGAGTTACTGGTAACTTTAAATGTTTGATCGTATCAAGATCACATCTAAACATTAATTTTGTATTAGTCTCAGTGCAGTATTCCGTAATATTTTTAATTATCTTGTTGGTTTCATATTTTAACTCGCTGATAACAATATTTTTAATTTCGTTTTCTAAACAGTCTTTTGATATTGTTAATTCCTTCAGCAGATATACCTCAGAATCATTAACAATTTTTGAAACTGCATCCAGAGATTCAACAACTTTCTTTAAACTTTGCACTCCTGCCCAGTCCAAGCCGTTATTGTTCACAATATCAATTAGTTTAAATATAGACTCGTGCACTGTTGAAAATTTCTTAAGATTACTATCACTGAGTTTATCATTGAAGAAAATGCATTTATAAAAATCATGCAGTCTACATGTTTCAACTTTAATCTGACTTATTTCTCTTAAAATTTCATTCACTTGTTGTACATTGTCTACCAAATTGTTCAACTTTAGCGTAACAAATTCCAATGGAGCAATAACAGTACTTGAGAAGCAAACATTAAGAGTATCGCTTACATTTTTCATGTTAGCAGCGATTGACAAAGTATTTTTGCTAATATCATCTATATTTAAAGCAATTGGAGCAGTACTCAATAGAATAATCAGTTGATCTATATTATTAAATGTATCTACCATTGACATTAGTGTATTAACTAAGTTGTCATCAATAAAGGTCGGCTTTTCAGTTTTAAATTTATTTTCCAAAATAGATAAGGTTTCAGTTATGCCGGATATGTCCAAAATAGTTTCATTAAGCAATATACTAGGACTTTCAATATTTTGAAGAGTTGATTTTAATCTATTTAATGAATTACAAATATTTATTACTACTTCTTCATTTAGTTTTTGCGAAATTTCTTTTGTTGGAACTTCTGGTTCATTGACTTGCACTTGTTCTACTGCATCTCCTGTCAGTTCTTTGACAACTTCTTCCAGTTTTACAGTTAGTGCTTTGAGAGGAACTTCTGAGAGCTGGAGTTTTTGGCTTTCTGGCAATATTTGAGTAAAAACTTTTCCTAACTTTTCTTTAACTGCTACAATAGCATTCTTTAATTCTGTGTTTTGTTTTTCTAAAATTTTTGGTTTCTTTAAGCTTTCATTGGTTTTGATAATAACTGCAGTTAGTTTTTCAAATTCTTCTTTAATACTAACAGATCTTTTCAGAGTTTCAGCTTTGATATCTTTTAAACCAGCATCAGGTATTTGTTCAATTTTCTCTAAGGTCTGTGAGAGGTCATTTAAAAAAGAATATATTTCAACAACAGTCAATACCCCTTTCTGAGAAAGCTTGGGAGTTTTTTCTACATTAGCTTTAAGTAAAGCCACTTCTTCAGCTAAAATTTGAACAGGTTGTCGAAGTTCTCTGATAAGAGCAGTATCCTTTCTTGCTTTTGGTTCTTTTTCTACCTCTTTTTCTGTTGCTCTTTTGACAGCTTCTTCTACTTCTGTCACTACTTTTTCTGGTGTTTTAATTGTTTCTTTCTCTGATTCTTCTATTTCTCTGTCCGGTTCTTTTTCTTGGGACTTTTCTTCTGTAGCTTCTGTTAATTCTTTAACAACTTCTTCCAATTTGGCAGTAAGTGCTTTAATATGAACTTCTGAAAGCTGAAGCTTCTGGCTTCCTGGCAATATTTGTGTAACAGTGTTTTCTAGCTTTTCTTTAACCGCCACAATTGCATTCTTTAATTCTGTTTTTTGTTTTTCTAAAATTTTTGGTTTCTTCAAGCTTTCATTTGTTTTGACAATAATAGCAGTTAGTTTTTCAAATTCTTCTTTAATGCTAACAGATATTTCGGGAGTTTCAACTTTGATATCTTCCAAACCAGCATCAGATATTTGTTCAATATTTTCCAAGGTCTGTGAGAGGTCATTTAAGAAAGAATATATTTCAACAACAGTCAATACCCCTTTCTGAGAAAACTTGGGAGATTTTTCTACATTAGCTTTAAGTAAAGCCACTTCTTCAGCTAGAACTTGAATAGGTTGCCGAAGTTCTTTGATAAGGGCAGTATCCTTTCTTGCTGTTGGTTCTTTTTTTATATCTTGTTCTGTTGCTTTATCTGCATCTTTTTCTACTTCTGAAACTACTTTTTCAGTTACTTTCATTATTTCTTTTTCTGATTTTTCTGATTCTTTTACCGGTTCTTTTTCTTGCCGCTCTTCCACTACATCCTGTGTCAATTCTTTGACAACTTCTTCCAGTTTTGAAGTAAGTGTTTTGAGAGGAATTTCTGAGAGCCGAAGCTTTTGGCTTTCTGGTAATGTTTGAGTAACAACTTTTTCTAATTTTTCTTTAACCGCTACAATGGCATTCTTTATTTCTGTTTTTTGTTTCTCCAAAAATGTTGGTTTTTTTATGCTTTTGTTTGTTTTGACAATTACTGCAGTTAGTTTTACCATTTCTTCTTTAATACTGACAGATTTTTCCAGAGTTTCGTCTTTCATGTCTTCCAAACCTGAATCCTCCATTTGTTCAATATACTCCAAGGTCTGTGAGAGGTCATTAAGGGAAGCAAATATTCTAATAACAGAAAATACACCTTTTTGAGGAAGTTGAGGGTTTTTATTAACATTGGCCATAAGTAAAGCAATTTCTTCAGCTAGCATTTGCACTGGGTGGCGAAGTTCTTTTATAAGATTTGTATCGTTTCTTGGTTTTGTTTGCTTTCCTGTTTCAGTTTCTTGCACCTGTTCTACCGGAGCTTCCGTTATCTCTTTGATGACTTCTTTTAGTTTTGAAGTAAGTGCATTGAAAGGAACTTCTGAGAGCTGAAGCTTTTTGCTTTCTGGAAATGTGTGTACAACTACTTTTTCTAATTGTTCTATAACCGCTGCAATGGCATTCTTTACATCTGTGTTTTGTATTTCTAAAATTTTTGATTTATTTAAGCTTTCGTTTATTTTGACAATAACTGCTGTTAATTTTTTTGTTTCATCTTTAATACTGACAGATCTTTCCAGAGTCTCAGTTTTGATATCTGCCAAGCCAGCATCATCTATTTGTTCAATATTCTCCAAAGTCTGTGAGAGGTCGTTAAGGAACGAATATGTTAGAACAAGTGAAAAAACCCCTTTTTGAGAAAGCTTAGGTGTTTTTTCTACATTAGCTTTGAGTAAAGCCACTTCTTCAGCTAGAACCTGAACAGGTTGTCGAAGTTCTTTGATAAGAGCAGTATCTTTTCTTAGTTTTGGTTCATTTTCTATTTCTGTATTTTTTCCTATTTCTGTTATTACCACAGTTTCTGGTAATTCTGCTTTCTCTGATTCTTCTGTTTCTTTCTCCGATTCTTTTTCTTGCAGTTCTTCTACTGCATCTTCCGTCAATTCTTTGACAACTTCTTCCAGTTTTGCAGTAAAGGTTTTAAGATGAACTTCTGAAAGGTTGAGCTTTTGGCTTTCTGGCAATGTTTGTGCAACAAATTTTTCTAATTTTTCTTTAACCGCTACAATGGCATTCTTTAATTCTGATTTTTGTATTTCTTCAATTTTTGGTTTTTTTAAGCTTTCGTTTGTTTTGATAATTACTGCAGTTAATTTTTCTAATTTGTCTTTAATACTGACCGATTTTTCCAGAGTTTCATCTTTATTATCTTCCAAATCAGCATCAGGAATTTTATCAATATTCTCAAAGGATTTTGAGAGGTCATTTAGAGAAGCAGATATTTCAATAATGGATAAAACTCCTTTTTGAGGAAGCTGAGGAATCTTCTCAACAGTAAATTTAAGTAGAGCCACTTCTTCAGCTAGAACTTGGAATGGTTGACGAAGTTCTTTAATGAGTGCGATATTTTTTTTAGGAATTGGTTCTGTTTCTGCTTCTGCTTCTTCTGCTGTCTCTCCTTCTTTTTCTAACAATTCTTTATAAACTTCCTCCAGTTTTGCAGTAAGTGATTTAAAAGCAACTTCGGAGAGCTGGAGTTTTTGACTTCCAGGCAATGTTTTTGTTAATAATTGTTCCAATTTTTCTTTTACCGCCACAATGGCGCTCTTTAATTCTGCTCTTTGTTTCTCCAATATTTCCGGTTTTTTCAAGCTTTCATTTGTATTTACAATTACAGCAGTCAGTTTTTCCAATTCTTCTTTAATGATAACAGAATGTTCCAACGTTTCAGCTTTGATATCTTCCAAATTCGTATCATCTATTTGTTCAATATTCTCCAAGATCTGTGATAGCTCATTTAGAGAAGCAGATATTTTAACAATGGTCAATACTCCTGATTGAGGAGTTTTAGGAATTTTTTCTACTTTTACTTTAAGTAGAGCCACTTCCTCAGCAAGAACTTGCACTGGCTGACGAATTTCTTTTATAAGACTGGTATCTTTTCTTGGTATTCGTTCTCTTTCCGCTTCTTTTTTTGTTTCTTGTTCCACAGGAACTTCTTCCAATTCCTTCAAGACTTCTTTTAATTTAGCAGTAAGTCCTTTAAGAGGACCTTCTGAGAGCTGAAGTTTCTGACTTTCTGGCAACGTTTGTGCAGCAACTTTCTCTAATTTATCTTTAACTGCTACGATAGCATTCTTTAATTCTGTTTTTTGTTTTTCCAATATTTCTGGTATCTTTAAACTTTCGTTTGTTTTGACTATTACTATAGTTAGTTTTTTCAATTCTTCCTTAATAGTGATAGACCTTTCTAGAGTTTCAGCTGTGACATCTTCCAAATCAGCATCAGCTATTTGTTCAATATTGTTTAAGGTCTGTGAGAGCTCATTTAATGAAGCAGATATTTCAACAACTGATAATACTCCTTTTTGAGGAAGTTGAGGGTTTGATTGTACATTAGATTTAAGTAAAAAAATTTCTTCAGCTAAAACTTGAAGGGGTTGACGAAGTTCTTTAACGAGAGAGGTATCTCTCCTTTGTTTTGTTTTGTTCTCTGTTCCTCTTTCTGTTTCTTCTTCCAGTTCTTTTTCCGGTTCATTTTCTTTGGCTTGTTCTACTGCCTCTACTGTCAACTCTATGATAACGTCGCCCAGTTTGGCATTGAATGCTTTTAAAGGAACTTCTGAGAGCTGAAGTTTCTGACTTTCTGGCAAAGTTTGTGCAGCAAACTTTTCTATTTTTTCTTTAACTGCTACAATAGCATTCTTTAGTTCTGATTTTTGCATTTCTATGATTTCTGGTTTCTTTAAATTTTCTTTTGTTCTAACAATTACGGAAGTTAATTTTTCCAATTCTTTCTTAATACTGACAGATTTTTCCAGAGTTTCAGCTTTAATATCTTCCATATCAGCATCAGCTATTTGTTCAATATTCTCTAAAGTTTCTGCGAGGTCATTTAAAGAAGAATATATTTCAACAACTGACAATACTCCTTTTTGAGGGAGTTGAGAGTTTGTTTCTACATTAGCTTTAAGTAAAGAAATTTCTTCAGCTAAAACTTGAACGGGTTGACGAAGTTCTTTGACGAGAGCAGTATCTTTTCTGGGTTTTATTTCTTTCTCTCCTCCTCTTCCTGTTTCTTCTTCTGGTTCTCTTTCTTTGACTTGTTCTACCGCCTCTACTGTCAACTCATTGATGACTTCGTCCAGTTTGGCTGTCAGTGCTTTTAGAGAAATTTCTGAGAGCTGAAGTTTCTGACTTTCTGGCAGCGTTTGCGAAGCAACATTTTCTAATTTTTCTTTAACTGCTACGATAGCATTCTTTAATTCTGTTTTTTGTTTTTCCAAGATTTCTGGGCTCTTTAAACTTTCGTTTGTTTTTACAACTACTGTAGTTAGCTTTTCCAGTTCTTTCTTAATACTGACAGACTTTTCCAGAGTTTCACCTGTAATATCTTTCAAATCAGCATCAGCTATTTGTTCAATATTCTTCAAGGTCTGTGAGAGGTCATTTAATGAAGCATATATTTCAATAACTGATAATACTCCTTTTTGAGGAAGTTGAGGGTTTGATTCTACATTAGATTTAAGTAAAGAAATTTCTTCAGCTAAAACTTCAATGGGTTGACGAAGTTCTTTGACGAGAGCGGTATCTATTCTGGGTTTTATTTCTTTCTCTCCTCTTTTTGTTTCTTCTTCTGGTTCTCTTTCTTTGACTTGTTCTTCCGCCTCTACTGTCAACTCATTGATGACTTCGTCCAGTTTGGCAGTCAGTGCTTTTAGAGGAACTTCTGAGAGCTGAAGTTTCTGACTTTCTGGCAGCGTTTGCGAAGCAACTTTTTCTAATTTTTCTTTAACTGCTACGATAGCATTCTTTAATTCTGTTTTTTGTTTTTCCAAGATTTCTGGGCTCTTTAAACTTTCGTTTGTTTTTACAACTACTGTAGTTAGCTTTTCCAGTTCTTTCTTAATACTGACAGACTTTTCCAGAGTTTCACCTGTAATATCTTTCAAATCAGCATCAGCTATTTGTTCAATATTCTTCAAGGTCTGTGAGAGGTCATTTAATGAAGCATATATTTCAATAACTGATAATACTCCTTTTTGAGGAAGTTGAGGGTTTGATTCTACATTAGATTTAAGTAAAGAAATTTCTTCAGCTAAAACTTCAATGGGTTGACGAAGTTCTTTGACGAGAGCGGTATCTATTCTGGGTTTTATTTCTTTCTCTCCTCTTTTTGTTTCTTCTTCTGGTTCTCTTTCTTTGACTTGTTCTACCGCCTCTACTGTCAACTCATTGATGACTTCGTCCAGTTTGGCAGTCAGTGCTTTTAGAGGAACTTCTGAGAGCTGAAGTTTCTGACTTTCTGGCAGCGTTTGCGAAGCAACTTTTTCTAATTTTTCTTTAACTGCTACGATAGCATTCTTTAATTCCGTTTTTTGTTTTTCCAAAATTTCTGGTCTCTTTAAACTTTCGTTTGTTTTCACAATTACTGCAGTTAATTTTTCCAATTCTTTCTTAATACTGACAGATTTTTCCAAAGTTTCAGCTTTAATATCTTCCAACTCAGCATCAGCTATTTGTTCAATATTTTCCAAGGTTTGTGCGAGGTCATTTAAAGGAGAAGATATTTCAACAACTGACAATACTCCTTTTTGGGGAAGTTGAGTGTTTGTATCTACATTAGCTTTAAGTAAAGAAATTTCTTCAGCTAAAACTTCAATGGGTTGACGAAGTTCTTTGACGAGAGCGGTATCTTTTCTGGGTTTTATTTCTTTCTCTCCTCCTCTTTTTGTTTCTGCTTCTGGTTCTCTTTCTTTGACTTGTTCTACTGCCTCTACTGTCAACTCATTGATGACTTCGTCCAGTTTGGCAGTCAGTGCTTTTAGAGAAACTTCTGAGAGCTGAAGTTTCTGACTTTCTGGCAGCGTTTGCGAAGCAACTTTTTCTAATTTTTCTTTAACGGCTATGATAGCATTCTTTAATTCTGTTTTTTGTTTTTCCAAGATTTCTGGGCTCTTTAAACTTTCGTTTGTTTTTACAACTACTGTAGTTAGCTTTTCCAGTTCTTTCTTAATACTGACAGACTTTTCCAGAGTTTCACCTGTAATATATTTCAAATCAGCATCAGCTATTTGTTCAATATTCTTCAAGGTCTCTGAGAGGTCATTTAATGAAGCATATATTTCAATAACTGATAATACTCCTTTTTGAGGAAGTTGAGGGTTTGATTCTACATTAGATTTAAGTAAAGAAATTTCTTCAGCTAAAACTTTAATGGGTTGACGAAGTTCTTTGACGAGAGTGGTATCTTTCCTTTGTTTTGTTTCGTTTTCTGTTCCTTCTTCTGTTTCTTCTTCCGGTTCTTTTTTCGGTTCATTTTCTTTGACTTGTTCTTCTGCTTCTACTGTCAACTCTATGATAACTTCGTCCAGTTTGGCAGTAAATGCTATTAGAGGCACTTTTGAGAGTTGAAGTTTTTGACTTTCTGGCAACGTTTGTGCAGCAAAATTTTCTAAGCATTCTTTAACTGCTACGATAGCATTCTTTAAGTCTGATTTTTGCATATCTATGATTTCGGGATTTTTTAAACTTTCGTTTGTTTTCACAATTACTGCAATTAATGTTTCCAATTCTTTCTTAATACTAACAGATTTTTCAAGAGTTTCAGTTTTAATATCTTCCAAATCAGCATCAGCTCTTTCTTCAATATCCTCCAAGTTTTGTGCGAGGTCATTTAAAACAGAAGATATTTTAACAACTGCCAATACTCCTTTTTGAGAAAGTTGAGTGTTTTCTTCAACATTAACTTTAAGTAAAGTAATTTCTTTAGCTAAAACTTGAACTGGTTGACGAAGTTCTTTTACGAGAGCGGTATCCTTTCTTGATTTTGTTTCTTTTTCTAATTCTTTTCCTCTTTCTTTCTCTTGTTCTTTTTCTTCAACTTGTTCTGTGATATCTTCTGTCAATTCCGTGACAACTTTTTCCAGTTTGGCAGTAAATGCTTTAAATGCAACTTCTGAGAGCTGAAGTTTTTGACTTCCTGGCAAAGTTTGTGTAGAAAATGTTTCTAACTTTTCTTTAAATGCTACAATAGCATTCCTTAATTTTGTTTTTTGTTTTTCCAAAGTTTCTGGTTTTCTTAAACTTTCGTTTGTTTTGACGATTACTGCAGTTAGTTTTTCCAGTTCTTCCTTAATACTCACGGATTTTTCTAGAGTTTCAGCTTTGATATCTTCCAAACCAGCATCAGCTGTCTCTTCAATAATCTCCAAAGTATGTGAGAGATGATTTAAAGAAGTAGATATTTCAACAACTGATAATACTCCTTTTTGAGGAAGTTGACTATTTTTTTCTACATTATCTTTAAGTAAAGCAATTTCTTTAGCTAAGACTTGAACAGGTTGACGAAGTTCTTTGACAAGAGCGGTATCCTTTCTTGGTTCTGTTTTTTTCTCTACTTCTTTTTCTGGTCCATTCTCTTTGACTTGTTCTACCGCATCTTTAGTCAATTCTTTTATAACTTCTTCCAGTTTGGCAGTAAATGCTTTAAGAGGAACTTCTGAGAGCTGAAGTTTTTGACTTTCTGGCAATGTTTCTGTAGCAACTATTTCTAATTTTTCTTTAACCGCTATGATAGCATTCTTTAATTCTAATTTTTGCATTTCTATAATTTCTGGTCTCTTTAAACTTTCGTTTGTTTTCACAACTACTGCAGTCAGTTTTTCCAATTCTTCCTGAATACTGACAAATTTTTCTAAAGTTTCAGCTTTAATATCTTCTAAACCAGCATCAGCTATTTGTTCAGTATTTTCCAAGGTCTGTGAGAGGTCAATTAAAGAAGAAGATATTTCAACAACTGATAATACTCCTTTTTGAAGAAGTTGAGGGTTTGATTCTACATTGGCTTTAAGTAAAGCAATTTCTTCAGCTAAAACTTGAATAGGTTGACGAAGTTCTTTGACGAAAGCCGTATCCATTCTTGGTTTTGTTTCTTCTTCTGCTTTATTTTTTGTTTCTTTTTCTAGTTCTTCTGTCAACTCTTTGACAACTTCTTCAAGTTTGGCCGTAAATGCTTTAAGAGGAACTTCACAGAGTCGAAGTTTTTCACTTTCTGGCAATGTTTGTATTGCAACGTTTTCGAATCTTTCTTTAACCGCTACGATAGCTTTCTTTAATTCTGATTTTTGTTTTTCCAAGATTTTTGGTTTTCTTAAACTTTTGTTTGTTTTGACAATTACTGAAATTAGTTTTTCCAGTTCGTTTTTAACACTGACATATTTTTCCATAGTTTCAGTTTTGATATCTTCCAAACCAGCATCATTTATTTTTTCAATATCTTTCAAGGTCTGTGAGAGGTCATTTAAAGAAGAAGATATTTCAACAACTGACAATACTCCTTTTTGAGGAAGTTGAGGGTATTTTTTTACATTAACTTTAAGTAAAGAAATTTCTTCCGCTAAAACTTGAATGGGTTGATGGAGATCTTCGACGAGAGCGATATCCTTTCTTTGCTTTCTTTCGTTTTGTGTTTCTTTATTCGGTTCATTTTCTTTTACTTTTACTGCATCTTCTGTCAATTCGTTAAACACTTCTTCCAGTTTGGCAGTAAATGCTTTAAGATGAACTTCTGTGAGCCGAAGTTTTTGACTTTCTGGCAGTGTTTGTGTTACAACTTTGTCTAATTTTTCTTTCACTGCTACAATAGCATTTTTTAATTCTGCTTTTTGTTTCTCAAGAATTTTCGGTTTGTTTAAGCTTTCGTTTGTTTTGACAACGACGGCAGTTAGTTTTTCCAGTTCATCTTTAACACTAACAGATTTTTCAAAGGTATCAGCTGTAATATCATCCAATCCATCATTAGGTATATGTTCAATATTCTCCAATGTCTGTAAGAGATCGTTTAGAGAAGCAGATATTTTAACAATAGATAATACTCCTTTTTCTAGGATTTCGGATCTTTCTTTTACGTTGGTTTTAAGTAAAGTCACTTCTACAGCCAGTATTTGTACAGATTGGCGTAGTTCTTTGACGAAAGACGTGTCTTTTCTTATTTCCTGTTTAATTTTTGCTTCCTCTGTACTTTTATTGATTTGAGCGTCGGTTTCTGTTGAAATTTGAGCAAATTGTTGTTGAATATACTGCAGTTTTTCATTTAGTACTGTTAATCCAGGCGTAAACTTACATTCGTAATTTTTAATTTTGTTCAGACTGGAAATTAGTTTTGTCAAAATTTGTTTAATTTTTAAATTTTCTTTGTCAGTCTTTTCTGAAATCGTTAATTTCTGATTACTCTTATCTATCACATTAGACAAAATCTGTAACAAATTAGAAATATCATCAATGTTTTGTCTGAAACCTTCTGATTCTTCAGGTAAAATGTCAGTAAGTTCTATTTGTGCAGATAAATTAAATAGTGGACCTATTAATTCTGTAAGTAATGATAAAATGTTTCTTTCTTCAATTCTAGTAGTCCCTTGAAGATGGGTATTTAGCATTTCAAGTTCTCCACGCAATGTTATAACTTTTCCATACAATTCTGATAAAACTTGCTGGTCTTTGCTTGGAGTTTTTGACATTTTCTTTGAAGTTTCGTTGTTTTCCAACCAATGAGAAATGCTTACAATCAGGAATTTGTTTGGTTCACAAAGGCATTGCAACACGGCGTCTTCTCTAAAGACATCAACTATTTCTGAGCAGTTAGACTTCAAAAATTTTAGATTATCTATTAATGCCACGTTTTCTATCTCAGCATTTGAAAGAATTTGCTCTAAATCAGTCAGAAGAATATTTTGTTTCAATAAGAGTTGATGTACTTGTTCCTTTTTTAAATCTATCTTCGTTGTATTTGGAATCAAATGATTAATGGAATCATACAGAAATTTCAAAGGTTCTTGTAGAGCTTCCACTATTTCTAAATCTAAGTTTGATGATTTTATTTTAACTATCACTTCATGGATAGATTCAATAGTCCTCATATTATCTTGTAATATAATTTCTTCAGAATTTACCAATTGTTGTTCCAGGTCTTCCGTTATAGCTAATACGGCTTTCAGTGGTTCTTCTAAGGTTACTTTAAATTGTGAAGCTGGGGCAACTTTTAGAACGTTGAATGCTTCTTGGATATGTATTAATGCTTCCTTTAATACTGCTTTACCGACTTCTTGTAACACTGGCTTCTGTAAACAGCTTTGTAACAACACAACAACAATTCCCAGTTTTTCTAAGCAAATTTGTGCAGACAGTAAACATTCTGCCTCGCTAGCTTCAAATGATACATCCTCTACTCGATCCAAAGCATCTTCAATTGAAATTATTGCTTGATACAGATCTATTACGGAAATCAAAGCAACAGTTGGTGATGGCATATCATTGATAACAGCGGTTTGTAATGTTAAAAGCTCTTTTTTGATCTCATGCAGGGGTTCTTTCAAAGCTACTAAAGGATTGATATTTACTTGCGAACCTGTATGTTTTATTGCTTTAGTTAACTCTTTGAAACCTGTTGATAGGCATTTAAGTTTACTTAAAGTGATCTCTTCAATTGGGGTTTTTGTAAGATCTTCCAACGAAAGTTGGAGGACTGATAAAGCATTTATTATATCAGGATTTTGACACGATATTTTAGAAAATGATGCTTTGGTGGATATGTCTTTGATTTCTTCAGTTATAATATTTGCCAGTTCAGAGCAGGTTTGCATTTGTTGCTTTTTATCTAGTGATTTAATAATATTACTCAAAGGATTTGTTAAATCTTTTAATTTTAAAACTTCTTCTGCTTGACTTTTTGTTAAATATTCAATGAGAATACGAGAATTATCTTTGATATCATGTATTACAGAATCTACAGCCTTTAAACTGGATAATTCGTTCTGAATTTTTATAATACTTTTACACATTTGTTCCACAGGATTTATTAAAATTTTTAAAATATCTTCTTTTTGTTCGCCAGCTTTTGTAATAACAGCTCTCATACAAACGCTGATTAGTTTATTTTGCAAAGAATCTAATATTTCAAAGAAATTTTCTATGACAGAAGTATGAATATCCTTGCTGCATAATTGCTGAAAATGTTTTTGAATAGATTTCAATATAGATTCTTCTTCATTTGAAGGATGGATATCTAGACATTTGTCTAGTTGAACTAACAGTTTTTCGACAGGTTCTTTTAATTTATAGAGTAACTTTACATTACCTGTTTGTATATATTTAGCTTCAATCAGATATTTAAGAAGATGTGTGGCTGTTAAACGTATTTCTTTCGTTATTGTAGATGGAATGTCTGTTGACGATGTTTGTTCTTCAACCAGTAAATATGCCAAATCGATGTTATCATTTAGAGCCTGCAATTGGCTTGATAAGGCGTTCGAAAGTTGATTTTCATTACCGTTTTTATGAATAATTTCGATAACGCTTTCTGTAAAAGTTTTGATACTTGCTGTTAAATTTTCGTTGTATTCTTGCAAACCAGACATGATTTCTCCTACTTTGACTATATAATTAATATCATCTTCAGTCATGGTCTCAGCAGGTGATGTTTCGATTAGTTGCTTGATGGCTGTGAGTGGTTTCTGGAGTTTTTCAGTTACTAAGGGTTTTACATTTTGCGATTCGATGTTGGAAATCGATGATTCCAGTTTATTTAAGGATTTTTCTATTCGGGTTTTAGCCGTTTCGATTTTTTCCGCTTTAAACCGTTTGATTTGGTCTAGGAACTTTTCTAGACATCTCAGAATGTCATTTAAAGGTTCAGAAAAGTCTTTTAACTGGGAATCTTGATTGATACTTTCCGTAAACGTTCTTAATTTATCTGAATACGTTTGTAAGTTATTTATAGAATTATGATCTATATCGTTAACAATTTTATGTAAGTCTATAATTGATTCGTTAGCCATTTCTAATAGTTGTATATCAATAGGAGAGAGATTAATTTTTTTATCCTCTAATACAGTTACACCAATGAAATGCAATGTAGTTAAAGGTCTACGTATTTCAGATAGAAACTGCTTTTGGGGGTTGCGTTCAGAGCTAGACTCACCTGAATTAAGAGCGTCCTGTAGAGTTTGGATGGATAGTTGAAAGTCTTGCAACGGAGCACAAATCGTAGATTTTTCCAACGAAAGAAGGGACACGATATCCTGACCGATAGAGATGATTTTGTCTCCGAAAATAACAACAGCAGACTCGCGTGGTAAGTTCTGAAGCTCATTATTAAGCAACTGGTTCTTATTCCTCAAGCTTTTTACTACATCTTCGTCAGATAATTTGCTGTATTTATTCAAGAATTGGAGAACGTCATTATATTCATCTAAACAATTATTAATAATTTCTAATACCGTTTGTTCCATGTCGGTATTTACTCTTACATCACCTAGAGAGACTTCGACAGTTTTTAACAGTTGTTCTAATTTTATTAAAATAGGAGCTTGTTCGTCTGTACAATCAGATTTTAAAATCTCCACAACTTCAGTCAGTTTCTCAATATAGCAAAGTATTCTCAACTTTTCTTCCGTTTTCAAAGGAATATTTTCGACCAAGTTGATGACGTTCTTAACAGTTTCTTCTAAATGTTCCATGGCATCTTTAACGTCAGATTCTTTAGGAATTACGACCACAGCTAGTCGAAGTTCTTCAATAGCAGCTTTAACATTTTCAGCTGTTAAGGATTCAACAAATTCGTCTTCAGTTTGTGTAGATAGGATGTAACTATTCAAAATGTTTAAAGTGTTGTTTGCTTCGGCTAAAGCTGAGTTCTCTACATCTGTAATACTAGCCGATGTTTTATTTCTTATGGTTTCTTCGATGATCTTTAAAGATTTTTGGAGGTCGTTTAAAGCTACTTTCCTCAATTCCGGTAATGGTTGGGTCTCTATTTCGCAAAGGGTTGAACTTAAATGGCTCAAAGAATCTAAAATCGGTTGAATTTGTGGCACTACTTCTGCTGTTTGAACTATGCTTTCTGCAGCTTTAACATCGATGATCTTAACAGATTCTTGTGGTAATTCTTCAACTTCTTTAATAAGTTGATCCCTAGGTATATTTTCGGTTGTTGCTATTCCGTCTTCTTGTTTATCGACTACAGCTTCTATAATTTCTTGTGTTATATATTGGCTAGGAAGAACAGTCGTTTCTGTTTTAACCTCGGTTTTTTCTTCTATTTGTGTTTCTTCTTTTGGTGTTTCTTTCATTTCTTCGATTTCTATATTTTCTTCCATTTCTATCGTTCTTTTTTTTGTTTTTTCCTCTATTTCTGGTTGTGGTGCAGATTTTTGAACTTCGGCTTCCTCTTGAACGATTGTAATTGTTTCTACTGTATCCCTTATCTGTTCAAGTTTATCTATGTCAGTTACTTCCTCTTTAGGTTCTAGGAGAATGGTGGCTGCAGATTCAATACTTTGATATTTATCTTCTTTATTCTCTGCAATTTTTGCATCTGGTTGTGGTACAGATTTTTGATTTTCGGTTTCCTCTTGAACGATTGTAATTGTTTCTGCTGTGCCCCTTATCTGTTCAAGTTTATCTATGTCAGTTACTCCCTCTTTAGGTTCTAGGAGAATGGCGCCTGCAGATTCAATACTTTGGGGTTTGTTTTCTCTATTTTCTTCAATTTTTGTATCTAGTTGTGGTACAGGTTTTTGAACTTTGGCTTCCTCTTCAACAATTGTAATTGTTTCTACTGTGTCAGTAATCTGTTTAACATTATTTATATCAGTTATTTTCTCTTTAGTTTCTAGGAGAATGTCAGTTGCAGATTCAATACTTTTAGGTGTGTCTTCTTTATTTTCTGTTATTTCTGAATTTGGTTGTGGTACAGGTTTTTGAACTTTGGCTTCCTCTTGAACGATTGTAATTGTTTCTGCTGTATCACTAATCTGTTCAACTTTATTTAAGTTAGTTATTATCTCTTTAGGTTCTAGGAGAATGTCAGCTGCAGATTCAATATTTTTAAGTTTGTCTTCTTTATTTTCTGTTATTTCTGAATCTGATTGTGGTATAGGTTTTTGAACTTCGGTTTCCACTTGAACGATTGTAATTATTTCTGCTTTATCACTAATCTGTTCAACTTTAATTATGTCAGTTATTCCCTCGGCTGCAGATTCAATACTTTCTGGCTTGTCTGCTTTATTTTCTTCCATTTCTGTATCTTTATCAATATCTTCAATTTGAATTTCTTCTATTATTTTAGGCGCCTCCTTTGTTTCAATTTCAATTATTCTACTGTCGTCCTTTTCTTCACTCTTTACTGGTTTTAACTCATCTTCAACTTTTATTGGAATTCCAATATCGGTCTTCTCTTCTGGTTGACTTTTTAGGAACAATACTTCCTCTACAGGAGTAATTGTATCTTCAAGTTCCTCCTGTATAACTTTAACTTTTTCTGGAAATATTTCCACAATTTCTTCATTTTTCTTTTTAACTACGTCTTCAATTGGTTTAGGCTCTGCCTCTTCGGGGTATTTTATTAGCTCTTCTACTTGAATTTCTTTCTTTTTTGATGCATCCACTTCTGTCTCCATTAAAGCTGTTTCCTCAACAGAATCTAAAGTTTGAATAGCTAGTTCTTCAACAACGGGATGCTGGGATTCAGCTATTAAATTGTCAACATAGTTAATCAATTGATTGACGAATTGACCAACTGGTGAAGATATTTGTAACGACTTCTCTTTTACACTTTTAGTGTCTATGACCGAACCAGCTTGGAATGATTCTATTGCTGATTTTGCTTCAAGAATAACACTGTTTTCTTCTTCAATTAGATAAGGCATGCATATGTCCCTATAATTATCTAAATATTCTTTTAAATTTGGTTCTTTTTGAGCCTTTAAGTCTGCAAGTACGACATCAGCTACGTGTGCCTTAATATCTTCTGAATGAGCTTGTTCTAGTTGATTCAAAATGTCAGGTAAAGCTTCCACGAAGTGGTTAATTGATTCAGAGATTTGGTTAATTGGTGAAGTTTCATCAACAGATTTTGATGCTTCTTTTAGTATATTCAGAAATATCCTGACTTGGTTTTGATGAGCTGGAGAAGCATTTTCAACATCGAGCATTTCGCCTATAAAAATTTCGATTTCTTCAAAGATTTTGCTGATGTTTTCTAGGAATTTATTGTCACGTTCGTTTAAAGGCTTTTCTATCAAATCAAATATAGCCGTTTGCAGAACACTTGTACACTTTTGTAGGTGAATTACTTTATCGTTATCCAGTCGTTTAGATTTTATAGCAGTAATTTTTCTCGATAGAGTCTGCATGGAATCGGAAGCCAGTTGGATATTTTCCATTTTAATTTTATCATTTTCTTTCTCAATTGCTTTTATATCTTTCATTAGATATAAACTCTTGGTTATCAAGAGATTGAGGTGCTTTAAAAATTCTATCGAAGTATCTAGTTTGTTCCTGTCCAGAAAATCTGAAATTATTGAAATATATTGATCTGTGATGTTGTAGTCTTCTGATTTTATGAAAGCTTTTATTTCAGATACTACAGCAGTTGCGGTTTCTATAAAATTCAGTTCATTTTCGTTTAATTGTGACATGTCAGATAAGTTGCTTAGAATCAATGGTATTGTGTAATATAAACTGTCAGGTAAAATATTCTTATGGTAATTTTTATTCTTATTTTTGGTACAGGTCTCCTGAAGCTCATTCAATTCCTCTGTCAGGCAATCTTTAATAGCTTCAAGATGTTTATTTTCAAACATATCTGTTCCAATACCAATAGTTTCGTTAATAGATTCGTAGATATTGTTAAACTCGGAAATCATTTTGACACTTTCCACATCAGCAACTAATCTATTCAATTCAGACAAAACTTGTGAGTAAGTTATTTCGTTATTGTAATACTGAGTTATGGATTTAATAAATAAGTTTAGATATTCCAACGTTTTTTCAGCAGCTTCGGTATCTTCGTTGCTTATATCAGAAGCAACTAGATCAGTTTCGTTTATTATAAATTGCAATAAATTATGTAATGGAGCGCTCCAAGATTGGTCGTCTCCTTCTAAGATTTTCTTAATGTGTTTTAGTTCCTCCAAGTTCTTTAATTTAACTTGCGTCTCAACATCATCTATAAGAGCTATTGCTGCTACATCTTGTTGTTTAGGCTTAGTTTCTTCACTTTTTGTTTCTTTCTTTGTTTCAATTTCAGACTTCTCGATTACTTGCTTATCAACCTGTGGTTCAATTTGAAGTTCTGTTTTTATTTCATCCCTCAATTTAACTTGTTCTTCAATCAGTGTTTCAAGAATATCTTCTTCCTGTGGTTCTGTTTTTACTTCATCTTGCGCTTTAATCTTTATTTCAGTTTGTGGCATATCATCTCTTCTATCAGCTTCTATATCAGCTTCTATATCAGCTTCTATATCAGCTTCTATATCAGCTTGTGTTTCAATTTTCAATTTTGTTTCCGTTTCATCATGTGATGTGATTTGAGATTGTTGTTGACTCTCTTCTTCAATTTTATCTTTAGGTATAGTTTCTTGTGTTGGTGTTTCAATTTGTGCTTGTGGTATAACTTGAGAACGTTTTTCTTCTAAGATATTGTGTAATGTAACGATGACATTTTTGAATGAGTTGGTAATATTTTCATTAACAAAGGTAGAAGAGGCCAGTTGTTGTTCTAAACGATGAAGACTTTCTTCATTATTATCTGTTAGAATTTCTGTAACTGCTTGATTGAAATTGCCAGTAATTTTTTCTAATTGGTAAATATTTTCATCTTTTAGCGTGGTACTTTCAATTTTTTCAATTAGTTCTTCGTATTGTTGGGTTAATGGTTGAGATAAGACTTCTATTTGAGGAAGGTTGTTCTTTAACAGTATTACAGATTGGCTAATAGACTTTAATTTGGGTATGTCAGCTTTCAGTGCTTCTATTTTAGAAGAGACCTCCATTTTACTGTCTTCGGGAAGAATGATATCCCCCACTGACAAGTTTAATTTTTCCAAATTGAGTTGAAGTTCTTCCAAAGAACTGGAGTTATTCAATAACACGTTATTCAAAATTTTGTTTATATTTGTTAAATTTTCACGTAATTGTCCTGTTGAGTTACTTTTCTCCATATCAGGAATGACTGATTCAATTTCATTTAACAAAACTTGAGTGTGGGACACAACTGGTTGATAAATATGGGTCTCTACGTTTGCCGTTTCTTTTAATAACTTCACGCATTGTTTGGTTAAGTTTTGATCAATTATTTCTTCGTTCAATTGTTTCAGAGTTTTTATCGAATCTTCCAACAGCTCTGTAATGACTGGGTCCGTTTCGTTAGCATTTCGAAGATTTTCAATGATTCTATCGATTTCTAAAACAGGTATTTGCTCTTCTTGAATATTTCTAACTGTACAATCTGCTAACTGCGCTACATCTTTTACAACATCTGATATAAACGCTACTTCTACGGGATTATTGCAGCTTATATGTGGTATTGCTCTTTCTAAAGTTTGCAAATTCTTATTAGTATTTTCGAGTAGAATATTCTGTACAGTTCCCAAGCATGGTTGTTCCAAATTTCCTAATTTCACCCTCAGTTCCTCTATCTTTCCGATTAGCAATTTTTTATGCAATTCTACTGTTATTATGTTACTAATATTCTGTGTGGCTTCTACTAAAGTTTCGTTGCTTACATTAGCCGTCAAATTTTCTAAATTAGTTAGATCATCTTCGAGATTTAGCAGAAGGTTATTGTCAGTATCGGAATTTGTAAAAGTTTTGACTATATTACTAGTAATATCAATAATTTCTTGTGCTTGATCAGAATAAAGTATTTCTGAACAGTTATCATTTATTACTTGTAAAGCGTTAGTTAAAGGTTCTTTTACAGTTGAAGTTGTTTCAGTTACAGCTTTGACTGCATTTTGTAAAGCATCCAAAGATATGAACTGATTGGTTTCAAGAAGATTGTCTTTGATGTAATAAGTTAGTAATATATTTACCCCACGAAGAGTTTCTGCAAAAAGTATATCTATGTCTGATATAATAGTAACATTTTCTATATCTTTGGTTAGTATGTTAAGTCTATCTAAGTCTTCTGGTAGGAATACATTATTAGAAATATGTTCTACTACGACATCCAGTAGTACCAAGATATTCTCAGCTTGGGTTATTGAAATACTGCCTGAAGGTTCTTTCAAGAAAAGTATATTGCTTATTTCGACAGCTGCCTCTAGTTCTTTGATTACGTTTTCGAGATTTGTGGTCCGTGGTAAAGATTTCAAGTTGAAAATACTGTTGTCTATGTTTTCTAAATGTCTGCTTCTGAAAGCTGTCTCTGAAGTCCGATCTCCTTCGTTTAAGTGGTCATGTAATTCTAGGATGCTTCCTATGAATTCGGCTAATGAAAAAATTATATGTCTCAAGCTATCGTTGTTAATATCTTTTAATTTGTCTAAAAGATCTTTGGCACAAGGTGTCAGTTCTTCTATAATTGAAGAAATTTCGTAAACAGTGCTACTGATTGGTATAGATGATCTCAGTTTACTAAGTAAATCAGCTATGGAAGCTAAACATTCCAAATCTTTGGTTTGTATATCAAAGTTAAATATTTCTAACGATATTATTTCAATGGTATTTCTTAGAGGACCATACAGGGTGAAGATTTTAATCTTCAACTCATCTGGAATTACCTCTAGTATATTATTAATTTCTATAAGAGGATCTCGAATTGATGAAAATATTTGTTTCCTGTAATCTTGATCGTTTTGAATATTCTGTAAGTAGGTATCCAATTTTTCTAATGGTTGTGCTAGTTTCTGTATATTTTCAATGTCTTCTACTGTTACATTCTCAGTCTCAGTAAAGAGAGGGGTGTTTTTGATATCTTCGATTTGATCCAGCAATTGCGTTGAAACTTCATAAAAATCTAAAGGTATTTGTTCGTTATGTTCGCTCATTGCAACCTCATAAAACATTGCCAAAGATTTTTCAAGTTCAAAGATATTTTCTGCAGCTATTGCACGTAATTCTGTAGGTACATGATCTATTGAGCCACTTAGAATAGGCAGACTTCTTACTGTACTAATTTTAGCTTTCAGTTCATTAATGTTCTCTTCACTATGCTGCACCATAACGTCCAAATGCTGAGTTTCATCCAGAATCTGTTGATGCATCACGGCAACGTTGTATTGTAAATGTTGCAACACTTGAAACAGTTCGTTTTTAGATTCATCGGCAGGTTGGCTTGCTAGTAAATCTAGAGAACCTATTATCAGATCTTCGATCATTTCTAAAGGTATGACGTGTTTTTGTAAAAGCACACGATCGTTGACAGTTAATTCTGTTTTAGTTTTAACTAAAAGCTCATCAGTTACAGCTATGTTAAGATCTTTTATTCTAGTTAAGAATGGATCTAGCATGCTTAGATAAGGTTCCACGCATTTTTGGTTCAACTGATCTAAAGATGTTTTGGTATCTTCAATTAGTGCATCGGATATTACTGTAGATAATTCTTCTTCTAGTAAAACAACAACGTTATCTTCAATTTTATCGTCAGTAGGAGTTTCTTGGTCTATTAAAGTACTGATATTTTCTCTGATTTCACAAATTTTGCCTCGTAAAATCGAAAATATGATACACAAATCCATACTTTGAAGGATAATATCATCGACTATTACGCAGTCTTCTAAAATATTCAACAAATTAATACTGTCTTCTAAAATATATTTTCCTGAAGTCGGTGTAATGCTCCTAACAAGACTGTTTAATAAATGTATTGGTTCGCTTAAGTTTTCTAATGCAGAAACTGTAGCATGGGTTTGAAAATTGCTGGCTTCGACAACCGTCACCTCTAGATCTCTCTGTAAAATTCCCAAATGGCTCAATGCTTCCAAAATAATACTATCCGATACGTTTATTCTAGCAGCATCTATGCTTTGTAGTAATTCTTCGATAGACTGTTTTATATTGGTGAAAACCAGTTTGGTGACTTTGTCTAAAACTTCGGTGAATACTTCGTCTGAAGTTACTGACGTTTCTGCTTCTTTAGCTACAACCGCTTGGTTTTTGATTCTTGTTAGCGAGTGTATTATTGATTCTACTGGAGACTCTAGAGATTCCAGAACGTTCCTACTTATCATACCAGCGTGTAAATCACCAGGTTCTTGAATTTTTATAACGTTTAAACCCTTGGAGATTTCATCAACAGGTGTGCTAATATTATCCAAAAGAGCACGACGTATTTCTTGCTGTAAAGATTTTTCCGCTGTGTATCTCACGGCTTCTTTTTGTATGACTTTCATTTCTTTAATTAATACTTCAACTGGATCTTGTAGTTTATCCAAAATTTCTTGAAATTGGACTGTTCTTTCTAGAGTTTGAAGAGCTGTTTTGATGGTTGAGGCTGCGTCTATTAGTCTATCAAGGACGTCAATATCCTTGCTAGCAGACAACCTTCTTAATGATGTATCTGGTGATGGTGAGGTTTGTTGGGATGATTTTTCTGCTAAAGCTGAGTTAAGTTTGTCTAATTTGCCATGCATTTCTTTTATGGTAATGCAGACTTCTTGGATAATCTTCGATGGAGTCATTCTACCAGTAGCTTGAGTGATATTTAGTTCTTTTTCTAATACAGCTATTTCTTCGAACGAATTTAAAGCTCTTTGGATGTTGACACCAGAAGTTTTTAGGATGTTAGAACAGGTTTTTTGAATCAAAGTGTGTTCTTTACGTTTGATATTTATGCAGTTTTCTATTACTAATAAGCTCTTTTGTAGATCAAATATTGAAGGAGCTAGTAACTCCACTATGTAGATTTCTGGTTTTGTGTCTCTTTGGTTAAAAGACTCGAAAATTGTTTTAATGTCTATAATTGGTTGCGAGATGCTCTTCAGCACTTCGTTGCTTCTATCAGCTGTTGAAGTTGTGGATTTTTCTGCAGATTGTATTGATAAATTATCCTCGACATTAAGCAGACCTTTAAGTATCTCATCTAGGGTTATTTGTAATTCTTCTACAACTTTATTTTCTTGGTTAATTAGTTCGGTGATTTTATTGGCAGTGATCGTTGGATCGATAACTAATCCATCACCTTCTTCTCCTTGCAGATCTCTTTGGAATGTATCGGCTATTTCTAAGCTGACGGCTTTTTTAATGGCACCTCTTTTGAACCCGTCTTTAGACATCTCGTCAGAACTTTGCGATGAATGTCTTCTTCTAGATCTCTTCATTTCTTGGCTTTCGCTTCTGTTTACTCTAAGATCCGAACCAATTTCATGAGCTGTATGTGGCGTTAAAGGTCTTCTATCGTCGTCTCCTGGTAGACTAGTAGTTTCAGTGATAGCAGCTACTTGGTAAGCATTATCTTGAATTTTCTCAGAGCTCATGGCGCTTTCATATTCCCCATAGGATTCTGTATCCAGCTCAGCTGCTCCAGCTAAGCTCTCGTCACCTTTTTCGGAATCTACTGAAAGGTTTTGTGTAAGGCTGTAATAAGAGTTGCTCTTTTGCGAGTCTGTTTTCCTAGGAGGCCTTTTGGGGGCGTCTCCGCTTGAAGTTAGATCGATTTTTAGTTTTTCCGAAGTATAGGTTGCTTCGTTGGTTATAGAAAGTATTTCATCAACGTCTGCTTCCGTTCTAAGATCTTCGTCGGCGGTATGGAAGTAATCGTCTGATACGTCTACCAAAACGGCTTCCATAAGGAGATTTCCGGATTGTGAAGACTCTTTCACAAACCTCAATGGTGGTAATTCGACTATATTGTGTTCTAAAAAAATAATAACGTAAGTTTGGTTGATTATTTAACGCTACGAAACGTTTTTTACCGGAGAAGTGTTCTGAGAGTTGTTCGGCATACATTTCTACGATTTGTATGGCTTCATCTTCAGTCAAATCTGGTGTTTCGTACAGCGATACGGAAACCTCTTTGCCGTCGAATGAAAACGAGACTTCTCCGTGGTCTGCTAGAGTTATGGATTGATCACCAGCTGTGTCGTACATCTGGGATGTTCTCTCTTCGTGAATTGTTGATAGGGATAGTTGCCTACCTAATTCTGGACGTGATGGTGTGCCTTTTAGTTTTTGATCCTCGAAACCTAGTAAAGATGCAGAGCTGGCAACGGTGCCCATGCAATTTCGGGCTTCACATGTATAGGTTCCGAGGCAACATCTGCCGTCCTGGATATATGTAAAAAAATGGTTAGGAGTTAAACGAAATAAAATAAAATAGTTCCCAAAAAATTATTGGAGTTAATATTGTATTTTTATAAATTAAATATTATGTGAATAACAAATTTTGTATAGAATCAACGACGAAATACTACTAGACTAATCCATAAATTCATAATTAAGATCTTATTTATTGTAATCATTCAGAGTGTCTTTTGTATTACGCAGAAGGAGTTGTCGCATCGACTGTTGCATTAGAAAGAACGACGAGTCGGCTGCTAATTTAAGTAGGGATGGTTTGTGCGAGTTTATTTATCTGAGAAGCGAGCATGCGTTTTACGAGTAAATGATTGTTGCAACGAAAAAAATACATTAAACTGATAATAAAATAAATGTAGGTAACAAGAATGCAAATGTACTTCTGTCGTGTAATTTTAAAAGCCTTTTGTGCGTTTCATAGCTTTATGTTAAGTCAATTCCTAATTATAACCCTAAACAATCCTTGTAACAAAACTCTCCCATACTTTCTCATAATAATTTGACAACTATGTGGATAACACCATGAATGTTTGCAATTCGATTTTTGTAGTTTAGTAGTTGTTCGTAGTTGTATAGAATCAAATCTTTAATAGGAAATAATAATGATTATATTTTTTAAATTGTTTTAATATGTTTTGGGAACTACTTATTTGTAAATTAGGAAGCATTATCAAGCCAAATATAAAATGAAATTTGCAATCATTTTTTTTTTTGTTATTTTGGGTATTTTGTAATCTTCAACATTTTCGTAGTTATTTTAAATCAATTTTTACACAGTGAACAATATAAAAAGAGAAAATCGTTACTATCTCAAAACTTTCTTCAGGACACAGATAGGACGTTTCAGCTTAGCAGGGCAGAATAGATAACTATATTTATACATTTTTATATTAAGAGACAAACAAAATTTTCTTTTAATCGAGCTTCGGAAATTACATTGATGATGGCTTAAGGCCAAACTAAAAAAAATTTGCACAAAATGCAGTTTTTCTTTGATAAAGTTAGCTACATACACACAGCCACAACCTCTTCGGGTTGGTTCTTTTTAATGCAATCGAATCATGCCATCGCTCACCTGTCCCGACGTTATCCGGTGAATATCCCCCGGTTTCAATTCAACACCGTCCTTATACCACTTCAATACCGGCTGCGGCACGCCTATAACCTTACACTCTAAATTCACAGCGCCCTCTTCCGAGAGCACCGCTCGCAAACACTCCAGGAACTTGGGTTTCCTGAAGTGCTTTGGAATGGTGATTTTCAAAAAACACGACGTTACCGAATGCCCGAAATCGTTGGTCGCCACGCACTTCCATTCGGCTTGATCGTTCAATTCTACGGGGCGCACGTCTAAGTGACATACGCCCAGATTTTCCCGGAAAACTATATATTTTTCCGGTTCGTTTGATACTGGTTGGTCGTCCCTGAACCAGGAGATCAGCGGTAGAGGTGTGGTTACGCTAACTGTAAAGAAAATATGTTTATTTGATCAATTAAGCAAAGAAAGGTGGAAAGCGGAAATGATTACCTTGAATAGTAAACCTGAAAGGTTCATTAATTTTAGCCTCGCTGCTTTTTAACCCCTGTATAAATTTAGGCGCCTGACTCCTGGCTATCAGTTGCTCCCTTTCCTCTTCGTTCAATTGATTCTCAATATCTTCAACAGTTAGTTCGGCTGAGCTTCTGGCCTCACCCATGCAGTTCTTGGCTATGCAACAGTAAGAGCCTAGTGAGTTGGTTCCTGTTAATTGGTACACATCGCCCGGTTTTAACTCTTGTCCATCTTTAAACCATCTGAGAAGAGGAGTGGGGGAACCCACGACTTTACATTCGAATGAGACCAGTCCTTCTTCTGTTAATACTGCTTTGAGGGTGTCCATGAATCTGGGTTTTCTGAAGTGCTTGGGTACTAAAAAATAGATACATATTAATAGTGCTGCAAATGGAAGTTGGGCCAACTCAAATCAAATTCCTTGAAACAAACTTTTTAGCCAAATTAAAATCACAACATACAGGAATTACCGTCGTATCCAATAACACCGAAAGAACTAGCGGATGACATTAAGAACAAAATAAATTACGACCTTATACCAGGAGAAATTCTTAAGAAACTATCTAGATAGGCATTGGTTAAAATATTCACTTATTTAATGAATAAAGTATCTCGATTAAAACATTGGAAATTGTACCAGATATCTGGAAAGTAGCCGATGTAATTATGATTGCCAAACATGGAAAACTCATAAATAAAGCATCACGCTACAGACCTATTTTGCTATTACCAATAATTGTTCTAAACTTTTCGAGAAATTACTGCTGAAGCGATTAACACCTATTATTATAAAGAATAAATTAATTCATAAACATGGTAGGCATCAAATTTAGGAATTGTAGACGCACTATGGTATTATAGAAGAACAGAGGCTTGAAGATACGGAGCGTCAGAGATGACAAAGTGATTTGCAAGGACCTACAGAACCTAGGTAATACAGTATTATTGCAGATAAGGAATAAACGGGTTACTTACTTATCATATCGACTGTACAAGTAGAGATTGATACTACGCCAGTATCACTAGTCGCCACACATTTCCATTCTCCCTGATCGCATGCCTCTGTCGGCTTTACTTCTAACATATACCCTCCAATACCGTCTGCCATTTGCTTGTACCTGCTTCCCTGATCCTGGTCCTCGATTCTGCCTTCAGAATTGTACCATTGGATCGTCCGTGGCCAAGGAGGTACAGATACTACAACGAGATTATATAGGATATTTACATATCAAGAGTTGTAACAAAAAGCTCACCTTGGCAGGTCAGTAAAATAGGATCACCTATTTTAATCGATTCGTCTTGTATATCTCGAGTAAATATTGGTGGAGGTCCGGTTGGTAAATGGCTGCAAATAATAAATTAAATTATAAGATACTGTACTCTTATTATAAATTCAGCTAACCTTTCTGCTGATTTAAGTGGTCCTTCTTTGCTGTCCACCACATGGACTCTAGAACTGGAAATAGCTTTCCCCATGCAGTTGATAGCTTCACAAACGTACACCCCCAAAGAAGTGGGATCATTTGGATTGGCGGTCAAAGCGAATACATCACCTGCATGGATCTCCTTTCCATCCTTGAACCAACGAAGCGCTGGGGTCGGTACCCCCACAACCTTGCACTCCAACGATACGGTACCCTGTTCGGTAAGAAGAGCCCGGAGCTCTTCCAGGAACTCGGGCGCTTTGTATGTTTTTGGTACTAAATAGAAAACAATGACTAATTTAAAAAGTTTGAGCACAAAACCTGTTACTTACCGAGTACGTTGAGATGGCACGAACTAGACGCTTGTCCCGTGTTGTTTCGAGCAGTGCAAGTCCATCTTCCTACATCTTTGACTGTGACTGGTGCTACATCTACGCAATGGAAGCCTCCTTCGTTTACAAATCTGTATCTCTCTCCTTCCGATATTCTTTCTTCATTTTTCAACCATTCAGTCTGTATATCGAACAATTTGGCAATTAATTATAAAATTTTCACGGATTTTTCGAAGGCACTTAACAGGGTAAATCATTAGAGATGGAAGAAAAGATTAACTTACCGTTAGAGTTGAGCTGCTCCTAATTTCGACCAAGAACCTCGTTCTGGTACCCACTTTGACTGACAAATCGTTAAGTCGTCTAAGAAAAGCGGGTGGTTCATCGTCATCTTCGGAGGTACAGACTCTGAGTTCGACGTCTCTGGATGCTACTCCTAGAGGTGATCTCGCCGTGATCGTGTACAAACCGGCGTCTTCTTTGTGTACTCGGTCCAACGCGAGTTGTACAGTGTTGTTGCTGATTCTGAGCTGTCTTCTTCGTTCAGGAACAATCGGTGCACCTCCATCTTTAGACCTACGAAAAGGAAATTATCTATAGAAATAATAATAACTGTTGTACGAATAAAATAAAACTCCACTTCAGTTATTTTGTAACACTATTGGCAACGTGGTTTATGCTTCATAATCATTTGTTGAGCCCTTCCTATGGGGCATTCGTGCAGACGAAAAAATTTTCTTACCCCCATTTTTTAAAACTTTTTTTCATGTTTTCGATCATTCTGAGTACGAAAATGCAAAAAAAAATGGTCGGGTCGTCTGTGTGTATGTATGCCGGCACAATGACTCTAGAACGAAAGTATTGATTAACTTACGGTTTTGATTTTCTTCAATAATTACTTCTAACTTAGAACCCTATTGATTTTCAGAATTTTCGGTTTATCCTAACTACTTTAATATCAATTTTCTTAAAATCCGCCTATGCAATTCTTATGTGATAATTTTAGGAATTCCAATTATTTCTAACGTCAACATTCCTAACATTCTCAACATTCCATAAATTGCAAACATTCTCTAACGACCTATCAAACAACAGCTGTTGATAGTAAAAGTGAAATTTCTAAGGTGGGTTGCGACCTTCATACTTGTAACCATAGCCATTTTGAAGGCTATTTTTATTCGAAATTAGTCGCCAAGCCTGCCAATTTATGAAAAATATGCAAGCAATTTCTTAAAAATTACTTTGATAGTGCTAACTTAAACCTACTACTATTTCCCCCTTAGCCACAAAAACACCTTCATTAAATTTACTGGCTCTCTGTCGGAACCCCATAAAATAATTAACCGGCTATTTTATTTGGCAAAAAGAATAATGCTTGGCTGTGCCTGTCAAGTATCAAGATGTCAACTGTGATGTGTGAATGGCTCTTAAATGTCAAATTATTTAAAAATGTATGCTTCTTTTGATATTTATTGCAAATAATTTGTAGTGTATCTCAATTCAAATTCAGGCTTTCCATAAATAAAGGTACAGCAAGACAAATAATATAATGTTCTTATACAAAGCACTTTTTATTATATAAAAGAGAGTTAGGATATAATGCTGGTTTTTTGTAGATAATTTTAATTATACAGTTTTGGATTACATATTCAACCAGCGAATTGTAAATAATAATTATTAAACTCCTAGTCATACATTTCCTCAATTCGTAAAATTTAAAAATTTATCTTCTTTCCTTGTGATTTTAATGACGTAATGTGATCAACCCATTTCAAATTTTGATCAATTATGATACCGAGGTATTTTGTTGTGTTTTTCATTTTATTGATAAAGTTGTCATTTATTTGTATGTTGAAAGAAGGCCTTTGTAAATTACATTGCTCTCTATGGATCTACTTTAACACAAAAATAGTTTTGTGGCTATAAGTTGCTATAACCTATCGTCGCAAAACTATTAATAATTTAAACATAGTAAGTAGTAAAACGAGGGGTAAAATAACAATAAATTAAGGGAAATACTTAAAGAGAGCAGGTTTAAAGAGTATTAATTTTTATTCAATTTTGGGTTTTACCAGAGCACCTAAGACTCTGCCTAAGATACAGTTATTGTTGAATACTCTGTGTGTACATAACTTTTTTTTTCGATTTATGGCCTAGGTGTATATACCTAATATGCCAGTCTCAAGTTGTGCTTTAAATTCTTATTCATGTGTGTTATGTGTAGGCTTTGTTACTGTTTCCCAGCGCCACTTCAGGAACAGCATTGTTAATTAGAACCCAACCGTGAATGGTCGAGTGGGGAATCCTACCAAGACATCAGAATTAATTTTAAATAATTAAATTAAAAAAATCCCGGCCAACGGTGGGATTCGAATCTGGGACTCTTGGATCCACAGGCAGAGACTCTACCACTGAGCCACCCACCCCCGTACATAACTGGATTACTCAAATATACAAATATATAAAGATACTTCAAAAATAGCTGTATCCCAGGTGACTAAATTCAAAAGTGCCGACGCCACATACTTTGATTACTATACGGGGCAAGAGAGAGGTCCGACACGCCCAACACAGGGCGCGGCCATTTTGAACCCTATGACACAGTTTATAGCTAAAGAATCAGATCGCTCCCTCTGCGTCGTCACTTTTTATCTCAATGTTCCAGTTTATACACTGCGCAACTCAGATAATACAATATATCTTTTTCAATATCTACACTTTTGAATTTTACAAATCACTGAGGTACTCCACTAGCCATTTCTATGCCGACGATACTCAACTTTATATTTCTTTCCCTGAAAATAATACTCAATTAGCAATAAAACAGTTAAATAGGGATCTCCAATCATTAGCGGATACTGCCAGACATTTTTGCCTCAGTCTTAACCCATCGAAATCCCAAGTTCTCTTCTTTGGAAGAAAAAATCCGCGAAAACGAACTCTGGACTCTGTTATCTTAAACATAAATGATACACCTATACCATTAGTTGAAAGTTCAAAAAATCTTGGTTTGATTCTGGACACCTCTTTGCATTATACGCAACATGTAAACTTAATTATTAAGAGAGCTTACTGCAACTTAAAGTTAATTTATGCAAATAGGGGACTTTTAGACCGAAAAAGTAAAATTACTCTATGTGAGGCTTTGGTATTTTCACATTTAAATTTTGCCGATGTAGTATATGGTCCTGCACTGCTAAAATGTGATTTGCGAAGACTCCAATTAGTACAGAACTCTTGTGTGCGTTTGATTTCTGGTTTAAAAAGACGCGACCATATCTCTGAAGCTTTAGCTGAGTTAGGGTGGCTAAATATTGAAAAACGAATCTTGTTACATTGTTTTATATTTTATCATAAATTAATTATCTATAAAGAACCATCGTATCTTTTTAACAAAATACAATTTAGATCAGACGTACACCATATCAATGTACGTTTTCGATCTTGCTTGACGCCGCCTATTCACTCTACTTCCCTCTTCGAATCATCCTTTTCGTATAATATAACCAGGCTATACAACAGGTTTCCGAGACATCTTCTTACTTGCTCATTGAGCACTATAAAAAATAAAATAAAAAACTTGCTATTTACTAATGAACTAACATTTTAGACTTGTGCTTTATTTTCGTTTTCTATTTATTATATTATTATTTCTGCGTCATTAACATGGATTAACTTGAATTTCGCTTGTTTTTATCTAGCTTATATTATTTTTTCTTTTTTTTTTTTTTTTTGTGTCATCGGCGTCGACTACTACGGCCATTAGCCTCGTGTTATGTGTAGGCTTTGTTACTGTTTCCCAGCGCCACTTTAGGAACAGCACTGTTAATTAGAACCCAACAGTGAATGGTCGAGTGGGGAATCCTACCAATGCATCAGAATTAATTTTAAATAATTAAATTAAATGAAAAAATCCCGGCCAACGGTGGGATTCGATCCTGAGACCTTCCGATCTCAAAGTCATGACTCTAACCACTGAGCCAACCCACCCCCTAGCTTATATTATTATCATTATTATAATTATTTTTAATTAAGTAGTTTAATTAAATAGGTTGAGTGGAAGAGAGGACTTACCCTTGCTTGCAAGGATTAGACCTAACTCTGCCTTTTGGCAAATATCGTATTTTGCTTATCTGTATGTTTTTTTTTTTTCTCTGCCAATAAAAGCTTTTATTATTATTATTATTATTATTATTATATGACAACCGCCTATAACAAAACAGCAGTCTTCTGCGTATCCTGAATTTGTATCCCTGGAGTGGATGTTATTTTGGAACTTTCAACTGGTCCGAGTGAGCTAACTGATTCTTTTGCAATAAACTGTGACTCCAAAAATAATATTCACTGACACTGACAGCAGCAAGCAAAATATCAGGTGCGTTTTAATCATCCGCTTCTGCTTCCGGAATTGTCGGTTTAGTCGTTTTAACCTGTCAGATTAAAACAAGAAAACCGACAATTCCGAAGCAGAAGCGGATGATTAAAACGCACCTATTAAAAATATTACGCCAAGATGTAGGCAACACGTAATAAGGGTTCAAAATGGCGGAGTTTTCTATCTCCTTTTAAAAGGCACTCAGAAAGCTGCGCAGTGCGACCATTCTCCGTATAGTAAAAGAAAATCAAAGTATGTGGTTCTGTCAAATAGATCAGTGACATTGTTTTAGTGTTACTACCTTAGATAATATATGTACAGATAGGCTACCCCTGCATAAATCTATACAATATTAATATCGCTCTAATAAAATCATTGTTTCTTTTTCTAATGCAGGTTTTTTCGCTAATATTAAAATCTTCAGCAGTAGCGTACGTAAACAGATTGCATTGGGTTATTTTAAATGTGAAAATAGTGACCGAAAATAGATAAAAAAATTCAAAAGCGATCTGATTCTTTAGCTATAAACTGTAACATAGGAATCAAAATGGCCACGCCCTATGTTGGGCGTGTCGGACCTCTCTATTGCATCGTATAGTAAAGAAAATCAAAGTATGTGGACAGAATTGATAATACAGTTGTCATAAAAGTCGCTAGAAACCATGGTTCGTAGACAACATGGTGGCCTCATCACGGTTGCTAAGGACTCAGTGACGTCATGAAATGAGAAGGTGAGATGACTGAAAATATTTTACTTGGTGTCGTAAATTAGTTTTTAAAACATCTAATCTTTTATTATTATTTAGTGGTGTTCATATTTTTATTTTTGAACTTTGTTCTGAAGTTAGTGTTTTTATAATATCGGTAGTTTGATTTTTTTAAAGACCAGCTACAAAATAGCAAGGAAAAATCATCTAATGATTTCCATCAAATTTCAAATGAATTACTTTTTATTTGAATTATAAAGAGAAATATTATTCTGTGAATGGTTTATTTTTAAACATTTTGGAATAGGGTACGGCCTCCGAGCTGAATTCGGAGCACACTTTGTTTATATCCCGAAATATTTTGAAATTTTAGCAAAGGCTATAGCTAGCCGTTGTGTTGCTGTTACCAGCCAAACAATTATTAATCTTTATAGACAAAAATCGTTAGAAGTAATAGAGGTACTGACCCTAAACTGAAATTGAATAGTAAGATTT